GGGGGGGCACGCTTTTTGGGGATGCTGGTGTGGTGAGCAGTGTCTAGCTTTCAAGACTGCTATTTTCCACAGAACCAAACAACCAAGCTTTGAGATTCAAAGCTGAACATGATCTTTTTGTACCTGCCCTCTTCTTTCATGGAGAACGTAAGCCTCAGGGTAAACCCTGATGGCAGGAAGGATAAACAAAAGAAACCAGTTTCAGATAAAATACATTAAGAGGTATTGAAGAATATTCTCTTCACTCTTAATTTCTTCAGAACTTAGAAAATAGCATTTCCATAGAACTTGAATTTATTTTGCTGATTAACAGAATCTGGAACATTATTGTGCAGTAGGCTTAAAAGATATTAAGATAGTGGTTCCCAAAGTGTGATCTAGAACACAAAGAAGGGGGTGGGTTCCTGAGATGCTTTGAGGTTCCTAAATCAAAACTAATTTCATATTAGTAACAAATACTTTTTTCACTCTCATTCTTTCATGAGTATAGTGGAGTTTTCCAGAGACTACATGCAATGTGATATTGTAAAAGATTGAATGCAGAAGCATATATGAAAATCTAGCCTTTTAATAAGCCAGACATTAGAAGAATGCCATTCTTCTAACATTCTTACGTTATTTTTAATAAACAGTGCTATTTATAGTAACATGTAATGGGTTATCTTGTAAAGTAATAATTTAAAATTTTCTTAATTTTAATTTCTAATACGGTAAATATCAATTTAGAACCCACATAAACAACCCTCGATTTTTAAGTGTAAAGACCTAAAACCCAGAAGTTTAAGAACCACTGAATTCTTGGAATTTAACATTTTAAATAAGAAACACCTGCCCTTTTTCCCTTTTAATAATCCCAAATCTTTTTCTGAAATCTCTCCCATTAGTTCCTGTCTTATCACAATATCTAATACACTTATTGGAAAAACGAATAAAGATCAGTGGATTTGGCAAAGTGGTTACTGTAATATACTTTGTAGCAGTGTTTATAAATTAGAATATATAAGGCAGAAATGTATAGGATGAACACATAACTTGAAAGTTAACTTTGATGACAAGGGCACCTGGATGGCTCAGTCAGTTAAGTGTCTGACTTCGGCTCAGGTCTTAGGGTTGGTGGGCTGGAACCCCACAGGGGGCTGACAGCTCGAAGCCTGGAGACTGCTTCGGATTCTGTGTGTGTCTCTCTCTCCCTCCCTCACTTGTGCTGTCTCTCTCAAAAATAAACATTAAAACAAAACAAAACAAAACAAAAAAACCTTGGCCAAAAAAAACATTTTTAAGTTTTGGATGATAAAACTTTGAGGTAACTCTAGCAGAAAGAAGTACCGTAAAGCATATTTTAAAGGAATATACTAAAATCGTTTACTTGTATCCTTTCATTTTCTCTCCAGAGATTCCTTCAGTCGGATGAGCCTGCGCAAAATGGATCTTTGAAATAAATGCACTTGTCTTACTCATTTGAAAAGAGCCATGTATTCAACATTGAGTGTGGAAAGAAGTTAAGATCTACTGAAAGACAAGACTTGGGACTTGGAAATTCTAGCATTAATTTACTACTCATTGAAGAATGCAGTGGCCAAAACATTATCAAATGTAGATCACTGAAGTTTGAGAATCATGGCCATGGTTTCTCATGTTCTGGTAATATGCTGTTATCTTTTTTTAAAGACTCAAAAGTAATGACTCACTATACATTTACTATTATTTATACCATAGCTAGTGTTAAATTTATTTACTTTAAGTTTGTATTTTTTAATTTATATTACCATTTATAGATTCATTTTGGAACCATTTTAAATGTAGTAATGCTTATTTTAAAGGTACTATTAAATATGTGAACGTTTACACTAATTTTACTGAGACTTCAAAAATTTTTGTTGACAAAAGCAGAGAATCTTGAGTTGATACAAGAACTTGTTCCAAAACTAGCAAAGTAAAAATGAAATGAAATTGACCTTTTATAGGCCAAAGAGCCCCAAGTTAAATAAATGGATGGGTAGAGACACATATTGATAAGTGGTTTGTGAAATTTTAAAACTGGTTTCTAAGTTATTTTCCATTTAGATACTCAAGGGATTTAGAACAAATTGCAGAAATAAGTTTCTCTGATGAAACTTTTGTCTATAAATAATGATTAAAAACTGGGATAGCTGCTACCAGTGACAGTAAATCTTTAATCCTCAATCTGATAGAAGTATGCACTTCATGACTCTCAGCAATTAACATGGGAGATTGCTGTGTTTCATATAAACAAGCTGGTCTTTTCATGAGTTTAGTGAGCTATACTGGTAAGTCAGAAATATGCTTTAAAGCTGTCTTAGATCACCATAAAAATGACAGAGAGCTAGTGTTTGATTTTAATCTACCAGATGAATGAGAAGTTATATTTTTTAACACTTGTATAGATTTTACAAAGTATATGTAAAAAGTAAAATTAGCAGTTTTAGTTAAATTAAGAACTAATTTAAAATATAGGACATGAAAAACTAAGGCAAAAATTTTTTTGGAGAATATTTATTTTCAATTACTTGCCAGGTTTATCCAAGAAACTACCGATTAATGATTTTCTGAGGAGTGTTTTGAACAATGTGTTTTTCTTTGTGTCATTATATATCTTACAGAAAGACATTTTAAATCTATCCCTTTGATCCATAGACCATTGACACGAATCACTTAAAAACTGATCAAATACAGTGCCTTTATTCTTTAGTTGCTGTTGAAACAAGAGCTCAAAAAATGTCTACTTCTCCTGAGAGCATGGGAGATGGTTGACATCCTTTCTCCAGTTTACCTTTATAACTGGCAATATTATGTCACATTCATCTTGTCTACACCAATTCAAAGCCTGAATCACAAAAAGATTTTTCAGATGAGTCAACAGTGTTGGACCAAAAGGGTTGTGAACTAAAGGAGTCAGAAAGGCATAACCTCAGAAATACATTTGAGGACAGAGGATCCACATGCACAATAAGTAAAGCCCAGGAGTCAAGAATGGAAATTCGTTAAAACTAAGGTAACAAATACTCTCATCTTTAGGGCAAGGGACGGGGGAGGTATACATAAGGGAAAGAATATTAAATAACCTGTAGGTCATTTCTCATTAAGTTATATTATGGAAGAGTTTAAAGTGTTTCACATGAATCTCAGTGACAGTATCAAGAACCCTAAAATTCCTATGATTTAACTGTCATGCAACACTATTTTCTGATTGAAGAGACTTCCTCCGAGAACACTGATACGATACTGAACACATCCCAACCTTCCATATACTTGTTTTCTTAAAATACAACGTTCTCATATCAAGAACTCGTACCAGTAGTTCTTAACATTAACGGTCTCTGGAGTGTGAGATGCCCAGGCTCTGTCCTAGAACTACTCTATCAGAAGCTTATGAGTAGTGTTCAGGGCTGTTTCTTTTAAAAAGTTCCATTAGTGATTCTGAATGGAGAGTGAGGGGAGAACCATGACTTTTTGTAACACACCATCTTGTGGAAGAATGTTGAGACATGATTTAACTGTGACTAATTTATTGGTACTTGAAATGGGGGTATCAAAGTGTTATTCTAATAGTATTTGTGTATTTTTTAGAATGGTTTTTAATGTCTTAGCAAGTCATAAGGTAACTGATCATTTGCCAATTTAATATACATTTAAAATGAAAATTTAACCACATTTTTGTGTGTGCCCAAAGCCTCATCTTACGGATTCCATAAAGTATGTCTACTTTAAAGGGCAACCAAGAATGCAACAATTTTTACTGTAAACCTCTTTTAAGTATGACAACTTGGATGGACTAAGTTTCTCCTATTTGAAAAATCTCTTCACCTCCAACTATTATTAAAGGTAATTATGCATGTTTATTCTCTTCTAGGTATGTGTGTATATATACACATATATATTATACATATTCTCAAGAGAACTCCACTATATTATAGCAAAAAATATGCAAAACAAATAGCAGTTGTACATGTAGTTGTTAAGCAGTTTAAATTTTATTGACCTCCCAGTTTTTAAAAAAAGTTAAATTTAAGGTCACACACCTCTAAATTTGATATACTATATACAGATCGTGCAGAATATGACTATGAAGAGATACAAATTAGTCCATGCCCAAAAAGATTTACTAGAATACAGAATCATTTTCATAAATACATATAAAATTCTTCTCAAGATAGAAGGGGGATTGGCTGTCCAGGTTTTCTGAGACACTTTTCAAAGTGATTCAAGGCACAAAATGTACACTACTGTGAATACACACATATTCCAGACTTTGTGCCTCTAAATACAGCCCATTAAAGATCTGGCTTCATGACTTAAAAAACTAAAGGTACTGAAATGAGATTCTTCTTCTTAGCTGGAAACCCACAGGACCTATAAACATCATATAGATAATTACTCCAAAATATGGAGATACAAATACAAGCATTTTATTTTAAAAAGCAAACACAAAAGATAGATGTGAATTCAAAAGTGTTTAAATGCTTCCTTTTGGATAATTCAATTAAGAACCTATACAAGTTTGTTCCCAGAAGCTAATGCATCACTAGTCTCTACTATGGGAAATGAATTCTAAAAATTAACATGGTTTTCAGTAATTCAAATTTCACTATTTATATAAAAACTTTAGAGAGACCAATAATATCCAATAGCTTCAAAAGATAAGCTAGACTCTTTGATGTAATCAACTTTACCAGCTTTTGTCCAGGTCTGTTTAATATATACATAAGGAAAATACTCTATAATTTCTTATAAAATAGCAAGTAAGGAGTAGATGTAGGAGATGTAGAAGGAGAAAGAGAATTCAGAAAGTCCTTCTCTTCAGTAACTTTCACTTCAGAATCATCAAAAAGTAACCACTTTCCCTCATACTCCTTTAAACTTTGCACTACATATGAAATTTTGTTCTCAAATCCACCAAAGTTAAGGCCTGTTTGGTCACTGGATTCCTTGTTTGTATCAACTTCATGAGTCCCATTAGTACTGTTAGTCTCAGAATTTCTGTTTTCAGCAAATGCTGTATTGGCAACTTTATCAGGATTGGATGCTTTGTTGTACAGCTCATAATCTGCTTTGCTCTTTTGTCCTCCAAGAAGTCCAATAGCTTCTACATTTTTTTTGTTCAGAACTTTGCTTGGCTGTGTATTTCCACTGACTCTAATTGACATTTCCTCATCATAATTTTCAACCACATCCCTTGCTTCCTCCTCATTCAATGGTTCTGGTTTACCGATTTCACACATTTGGTCAATCACAAAATTTCCCTTATCTAGTTCTAAACTGTTAAGGTCAGTGACTTTAACAGAAGCAGTGTAATGCCCACTACTGATGGTAATGCCGCTGTGCATCACAACTGCAAATAACCCATAGCTGTCGTTGGTTGGCTTTGTGCTCCATTCTTCTAGTGACAGTTTAAGAGGTGTCAGTAAAGGAGTGTTGATCTTGGAAAGTCCACCACCATAGCAATCAAACCTTTGGAAGGAAAAAAAAAAAGTTTTCTGCAATTCCACTTTACACATTCAGTTTTACATCCAAATGTGAAACCAAGTAGAAGTCTGAATGAATCCTTAATGTTTAGTGCACACAAGAAATACTGAAATAAGTGCTAATATTCAGCAGTTTCTATGAAGAACATATGGCATGCTCCCTTTTATTTACTTTCCTAATTTTTTAAAAGTTAATGTTTATTTATGAGATAGCACCAGAGGGAGGGGCAGAGAGAGAGGGAGACAGATTCCCTGTCAACATGGGGCTCAAACTCACAAACTGGGAGCTCATGACCTGAGCCAAAATCAAGAGTCGGATGCATAACTTAACCGACTGGGCCACCAAGGTGCCCCTTTAACTTTCCTAATTTTGTACAATGAGAAAGCCAATGTTTTAAATGCCATTTAACTTCAAAATCCTTTAGTGAGTAATTTTAATGTGACAGCCATCTCTACCAAGATTTGGGGAACAAAAATAAACAGCAAAGAAAAAAATCCACTGAAAGGAAACACTGTATGTCTTCTTCTGTAATAATAAAGTGTGTAGAGAGCTACTGGAGGCTCCCGTGCTAACTTTGAACAATTCATTAATATGGGACGGAATAAAATCTACAATGACATGTATACATGTCACAAAGATACTGGAATTTTCAACAGAAGAATCAAAATTCTTCAAAGACTAGTTTGATTCTTGGCTTACCTTAAATATAATTTTGCCTTTTTCACCCCTCAAAAAACCTTGATGTATACAAGATCTGTTTCCTGCTTTAATCACTTCAACTTGAAACTGTATCTAGTAAGGAACGAAGATTAAAAGATGTGGGAAGAACCCTAGACTATGTATTCATACCAAAAGGATTTATATTGATGCATTTTTACAAGTAAACTTAATAACAAACTTTTCTAAGGTTATCTTTATATTATGCTATTACACTATTTTGTTACTCTTATAGTATTTTGAACAAAACTTATAGCAGCTCATTTTTTTTCATATAGCTTTTATTTATAATACTCACTCCAAGCCACTAGCAGCAAAGCACTTCAAATGAATAGTTATAACTTCAGGCATTTTGTCAAACAAAAGACTTCGTTCGGCTTCAGTATAATGATGGCAATTTTCACAGAAATATTTATCTTCTCCTACAATCCTCTCCACTGAAGCAAACTGTGAAATTGCCCATCTCAGGGTCTTCATTTCTGTTTTTGGCTCTGGAGAAACTACATAAGAGAATCCTTTCACTCACAAATGAAGAACCTCTCAGACATTTAAAAATTAAGTTCCATGTTCAAAATTAGCATGCCATTTCATTTGACTAATCCTTCCCAAACAATAAAGACATTTTAGTTTCAGAAACTTAAGTTTATCATCCTCAACAGGACACATATCTTTTAAATATTTATACTTGGCTGGCCAAGTACAACGTATTTAGGTGACAGGGCCAGCAAAATGATAACCTAGTCTCTGATTCAATGTTAAGACAGACTTTTTAGTTTACACTTTAATGGCTAACCTCCGATATCTGAACAAGCCAGTCTCATGATCACTTCCCTTAACGTTTCCCTACTTCTTGTCCTTTTATACTAGACAAAACACTGGCTCAAATATTGTGAACAAAAATAGCCTCTGTAGCTCTAAGGCTGAGATACCTAAAACTTAATAAAGCATTTCACTTCCCATTATAACATACTCTACACATCAAAATAAAGATACCATAATCTTCTAAATGTTAATTAGTAACAAGTGAATCTATATGAGCAGAAAGATTTTATTATACCAGAGACACTATTTTTTTTCCCCAGTAATTATACAAGCTATTATTAGGCTGTGTTTTGTTGAAGAAAACTACTTATTCCATCATCCATACAAGACTCCAATTTTGCTTACTTTCAGAACTCTCTTCTACTTTGGAAAGCTCATCTTCTTGTACTGGCACACTGATGTCCTGAAAATCTTCTCTTCTTTCTGTTAAACTTTCACATTCTAAGCATCGAGTCCTTAATACCAGCTGACCTTGAAATAATTTCTCTACTAGCTCAAAACCAATTTGCTCTGCACCTAAAACAAAAATAGGAAAAATTTTCAGCTCAGCGTAGCCCAAATAACCAATATTGTTTCAAGTGTATCATGAATAAAAAGCTGACTTTTAGATCTAAACTTGCTTATTAACATTAAGAGGTGTCTTATTCATGATACATAAATTCCCTGTAAAGATCGTTTTGAAGATGAATTACTGTGGTCTCTAAAAAAGAAAGTCACAATTTTGTCACCTTAAGTCCCTTCCCAAAGAAACGCCTATAGAAACAACCCCAAAATAAGTACGACACTTTTGGTAAAAACCATTAACCACATCAATACTACACATTTTCCCTGAGAGTTGGACACAATTAGGTAGCTATCCAGTTCAACTACAGTAGAACTACTTAGTTCTCTAAAATTGTATTTCATTAAATGCAATTTCTTTCATGAGTTTATTGTCTAGTACTACAGAGGGGGTAAAATAATTCTCTTTCCATTAAAATGTATGGAATTCCCCTCGTTTATAAACCACAAATTAACATTACCTTAAGATTAGTGAGATTTATACACACACATCTGAGCACAGTGGTTGAAACACCACACAGTTCACAGTGTTAAAATTTTCTTACAACTTGAACCACATTTATCTTGTACATGTATCTAAGAGAACACTGCAGTTCTGCAGCTGTTAATCCTACCTATCAATGTCTAAGAATAAATTATACTGACCTTTGTTTATGGGCTTAACTTCATTAACATTAACGGACTTAACATTATTCCCTGGAGATTCAAGTTCACAACCATTAGTTGTGCTTTCATTTTCACACTTCCCCAAGTCCTCTTCAAGATCATATTCATTTTCTTTCGACTGTCCTTTGGATCCCTGGTTTGTTGTTATTTTCCCCAGACTACAGAATTTAGAAAGAATGCTGGGTTGCTTAGTTGCAGGCTTTAACCAATTTATTTTAACTCTTGATTTCTTTTGTGAGGGTCTTGAACTTTCATTTTCAGAAACATACTTGGGGATTATTTTAGAAGGAATCTCTAATGTATCACCTGTAGCTTTCCTTTTTGATCTGGTTTGTCTCTGGTTCTCTTCCAGTGACTGGTGTTCCTTAGAGGCTTTAATTTTTTTCTTTAGGTTACCAAATTCAATGTCATTTTTTCTTTTCCCATTTCCTTTTGTGAGTTTTTCTTTATAGTCTTCAGAATGCCTCATACTGTCCATCTCTGTGGTGTTAATACCACTCATTTCCTCCTTCTGATGAGGTTTTTCTTCTACCTTAGTAGATAATTCTACCACATTTTTTACTTCTTCTTTTTTTAGGAGTTGGCATGTTTCTTGGATGTTTCCCAAAATACACTGTAATACTTCCTGTGCATCATGCTGTAGATATCCTTCATACATAGGGTTGAGTTCCCTATAAATAAAAATTTCCATTTCATCTATTCTAGTTTTCAAGATAAAATATAAAAAACACATCCTTTCTATAGAGAAATTAATTCATTTACAGGGGTATCAAATTATTTTAAAAACCTGAAAACATTTATTCAACTAATTTGAAACTTCTTACCTAAACTTTTAATTAAAAATAAAAACAAATTTTACCTATTATCACAAATACTAGTAACACTAGTATTTGTATAGTTTACCATGTACCAGGGTTTATTCAAGATGCTTTTTATATTAGATGTAGAACATAATTCTCACAATAACCCTATAAGGTAAGTACTGTATCACCATGATTTTACAGATAAGGTAGCTTGCCCAAGGTCAAAGAGATGCAAAGCCAGGACTCAAACCTGCTGTTGGCCACCATGCTATTACTGCCCATTAACAAATGTATAACAATTACAGCTAGGTCTATTTTTTTTTTTTACTGTTAAGTAATCTCTACACCCAATGTGGGGCTTGAACTTACAACTCTGAGATCGAGTCACGTGCTCTACCAACTAAGCCAGGCACCCCTCACCTAGGTCTATTCTTTAAAAAGTTATTTAGTTTTAAGATTTACCCTGTAACATTAGGTAAGGCTATTTATATATTGGATAATGTTTCATTTAAGACAATACAAAAAAAAATCTAATCCAGTGAACTAATAGTTACGCAAACACAACAAAACTGGAATATTTGGTATTTATAGTTCTTATGCATAATATATTTTGACTAAAAACCTACAATTCCTAATCTGAAATCTCTTAGGACCAAATCTGAGAATTCACTAATTTTCAGATTTAAAAAATACATATGGCATGTAATAAATTTATTTTAACCCAAGGGACAGTATCCCATAATTAAACCTATTACTATTCCTATTTAAAAATGTGTGAGTATTCACATTATAAATAAAAATGAACAAAGACTGGGGCGCCTGGGTGGCGCAGTCGGTTAAGCGTCCGACTTCAGCCAGGTCCGCGATCAGGTCGTGAGTTCGAGCCCGCGTCGGGACTCATGGACTGATGGCTCAGGGCCTGGAGCCTGTTTCCGATTCTGTCTCCCTCTCTCTCCTCCCCGTTCATGCTCTGTCTCTCTCTGTCCCAAAAATAAATAAACGTTGAAAAAAAAAAATTTAAAAAAAAAAAAAAAAAAGAACAAAGACTATTAATAGCCTCATACCAATTCACATCTAATGAATTTAGTACCAAACTTACAAAAAGATTTCTGATTTCCAGAGCCTCTAGGCTACCAGTGAGTATAGGATCTGTAGTTTCTATTTTCCTAGCCCTTCACTCCCCCTATTTGTTCCCATATCACTGTCCCCCAAAGAAAGCAGTAAGCTACTAAGTTGGAATCCTAAAATTATAGGCACAATACCTGAGTGTGTTAAGCAGTCGCCTTGGCTGAGTAGCAAGTTCATCAGTGTATTTCTCTGGATTTAAGAGAAAGCTAGCCTGAAGCTGTTCAACTGAAATGATCAAGGACTGTAAACTGCATATGAGTTCATAACTTGCCAAAGAATCTTCTTTACAATTTCCCTGTCAAGAAAGAAACACACAAACCATTATTTTTATTTATGAACAAATTAAGTACCTTCCCCTTTTCTTGTGTTTCACTAGACAATACTAGCTTTGCTAAATTTAATTTCATTCTAACACTAATTCTATAGAGGTATACAAACTTTAAACAATTCTGCGTTTTTGATTATTTTCAATTACAGGGAAGATAGTGGTTTTCTGACTGTGTAAATCAAAGGTTGTGAGTGAATTTGAAAACACAATATATAAATAACAGGAGATACAAGGGCATGATAAACTGTGACTGTGATATACAATGTTTATTGGTAAGCAATAAATTAGAGGGCAAGAGAAAACACTGTAAAAGATGATAACCTAGTTAGCTAACCTACAAGAATGGAAAAATTGCCTTTCTTAAAAACACAGGATACTAAGAAATTCCATTTCACAGAACCAGTCTGTTATCCTCCTCCCAAATCCTGTGTTTCTATTACTTTTTAATTTCTAAGCAAGTTAATTTCCATTACTTTACTTTTTATATATTTTCTGTTCTTTTATTTTTACCTTATCTTTTTGATTGGCTTCATCTTTCAGGGCTTCTTTCTTCCTTGAAATAATGTTAAATAAGTGCTTCACTCCAGATTTAAAACCAGGACAAAAATATAATACCTATAAAAAGTAAGACTGAGTGTTTACTGAACAAACAACAATGTAACTAAAACCATTAAAGTACTATGTTTTTTGTAGAGCATTTTAAAATTTTTTTTAAAATTTTTATTTGAGAGAGAGCATGCGAAAAGGGGAAGGAGGGACAGAAGGAAACACAGAATCTGAGCTGTCAGCACAGACCCCAACGTGGGGCTTGAACTCAAGAACCGCAAGATCATGACCTGAGCCAAAGTCAGACAACCGACTGAGCCACCCAGGCACCCCTGTAGCGCATTTTTAAATGTGCATTAGTTAAAATTCTGAAATTAATACTGTGTCAAAAATTGTTTTATATTTCATCATAGTAGCTCACTGTCTTCCCTCACTGGCAGCAAAGCAGTGAGCCTGGGCACATATTGCTAGGATGTAGGGTTCTAAGAGTACAATATAAAACAGAGTTCCAAAGGTTAAAATACACATCACCATAGTACTAGGAATAAGGCAGGAAAACCAAGGATATGTCATCTTCCAGTTAACCAATGTCAATTCAATTTTGCTAGCCCAATTTTATTTATTACTTTCTCTTACCCCAAAGGAAGCTGGTAACATGCAATTTAGAATCATTACTTTAGTCCATTCTAGTTCATTTACAGTCAAAGGCAAAGACCCTATGGACAATTAAAATACTCCACTCTGAAATTCTCAAACATTAAATGTTACATCATGCTTTGCCTACTAAAGCTTTATTATATAGCAAAATCCTCAACTTACCTGAAGTATACTGTTAAGATAACAAGTATTGCCGAGATTATTCAGTCCCACAAATGGTAACAAGTTTTCTCTCTTCTCACAGTTTATAGGTGAGGACTGTGCTGCAGGAACAACTTGATCACTATAAAATATAAGCAGAGAGAGGTATTATGAAGTATAGTATCTTAAAGAAACAAAGTGGAACGAACACTTCCGTAGATATAGTCTTTTCCCAAAAATTGTATGAACTGAGATATGGATTTTATTCAGGTGACACTTTTCTAAGAAATCTATACAGGTGCAAAAATTGCTACATACTCAGAATAAAAGTTTTATAAACACTTTAAAACCATTATACACAACAAGCCTCAATTCCATCCTGAGCTATTAATCCCATTTTAGAGAGTAGAAAATTGAGGGACTGGTACTGTGATGAGTTAAACCTACATAATTTTTAAAAGCAGTCTAACTCTGAACAGAAACCTGGAAATAAGCTATGACAATATCTAGGAGAGGATGCACCACCTAAGAGGTCAGGTTCTGGTAAAAGGAAAGAGTAGATAAAGAGAATTACACAGTTGTCCTTCACTTTAAAACGAATTGTTCAAGTTATTCTTTTACCTTATTTTAACAAATAGTAGGTCCTCACAGAATTTTTATTTTATAGCAGCTAGCTACTACCCTGGCACCTCAAAGTGTTTATAGGCATGAATGCTGGTACACATAAGGTTCACATCTCCTAAACAGATTACTGGGAAATATTAGGAAATTACACATGGGACCAAACCCATTTTAGTCATATAGCAGTGTACCTATGTGTTGAATAGTGAGCTAGTATAGACTCTAATTACAACAACTATATGTAAGTATTCCATTTTGTTCAGATTTCCATCACTAAAGGATTTGCACCAAAAGATTTATTTTTATCTTACTGGCAACTACATACCAATAGGTTTGATAATTCATACACTAGGTTGTCAAGTCTTCTGAACCAAAAAAAAAAAACCCCAAAATCACGTTATTTCTTTACCCTTACACAGAATGCGTTACATTACAAATAAGTTTAAATTGAAAAATAATTTTAGCCAACAAATATTTCTCCAAGTCAATCTAACTGGCTTACCATCAATGTAAACAGGTTAACATTATGGATGTGATCCTGTGCTGAGCCAGCCAGTTTTGCGGTTTCTAAATTTTTTAACATTTATTTTTGAGAGACAGAGACAGAGCATGAATGGGGAAGGAGCAGAGAGAGAGGGAGACACAGCATCCAAAGCAGGCTCCAGGCTCTGAGCTGTCAGCACAGAGCCCAACACACGGGGCTCGAACTCGTGCACTATGCACCATGCACCGTGAGATCATGACCTGAGGCGAAGTCGGATGCCTAACCGACTGAGCCACCCAGGCGCCCCCCCCCCGCCCCACCCCCGTTTTCAACGTTTATTTATTTTTGGGACAGAGAGACAGAGCATGAACGGGGGAGGGGCAGAGAGAGAGGGAGACACAGAATCGGAAACAGGCTCCAGGCTCTGAGCCATCAGCCCAGAGCCTGACGCAGGGCTCGAACTCACGGACCGCGAGATCGTGACCTGGCTGAAGTCGGACGCTTAACCGACTGCGCCACCCAGGCGCCCCCCCACCCCCGTTTTTTGACGATTATTTACAGTTTTGCTGTTTCTACTATACACTGCTAGGTTTGTCTCACTGCTGTGTGTTTTTGCCTCCATAGACTATCAGATCAGAATGGAGGTATCAAAGTTCACTGCTTCTTCACTGATACGGAATTTTAAAAGTACCGAAATATACTTAAGATACATACATTTCAGATCCTCTATATTCAGAAGCCTTTTCTTCATTTTCTTGAGAATCTGTGAAATCCAAGGCTCTCTTAGTTTCCTTTTTCTGAAAAAACTTCAAGGAAAGTCTATTTTTTTTGGATGGGCTACCTTTTGAAAGCCCATTACTTTCACTAGGTATGACACCAGGCATTTTCTCTTCAAATCCCAAGGAGTTGACAAGAATTAACTTATACAAGGATGTTGTAATCACCAATCATATCTGTTAATCACAGAAAAGGTTTCATTATTTTCAATTATCAGCTGTAGGCAGTAAGATCATTAAATTTTGAAAATTTACCAAGGAATGGTACCAATTAGATCTTCACATTTGAAAACCCAATGCTTGATCAATAACAGGCACTCAATGTTTATTGCTTAAACGAAGGAGCTTGTCATTTGTCCTTAACTTTCTTAAATAAAAATATCAGATACTGAATTTTTATTATTTATCAGCCTACGAGATTAAGGGTCACACCACAAAATACCCCCATTTGAGTAGACCTACGGTAAAGCAGTATTGACTAAGAAGTTAATTTTTATTTTAATTTATTCATTCGGAAAACATTGAGCAACAACCATCTCTAATTCTAAAGCACGAGGTAAAAAGAAAGGGATGAATGGGAAATTAAGAGTGCTGGAAGTGAAGGAGTCCTCCCTCCAAAGCCTTTTCTAGTTATTAATATGAATACATGAAATAGTCTCTAAAAAAGCTTATATAAAATGTAACGTGCACAAGTCACTATGTTGTACACCAGAAACTAATGTAACATTGTGTGTCAACTATACTCCAATAAAAAAATACAATTTGGATACAAGCAAAGGCATAGATCTGGTTTTCAATTATACCTAAACATTTGAGTGAAAAGTAATAAAAGATGGAAAGTTGAGAAAATGGTGCAAAAAACTGCTGCACTTTGTGCTACCAAACTGTTACTGACTAGACACAATATACTGATTTTCCAAAACTTCTTTTAAACTATAAATTTTGTTAAATGCTCCCTTGAGTAGAAAAAAAGATTTACCTTTTTTAAACTTTTTTCACTGTTAAAACTTTTGGATGAAAACCCCCCCAGCAGTATTTGTGGTATTTATTTTATACACACGTCCTATTTTCTTAAGATATAGGGGGGAGGGGGGAGGGAATTATCTGGGGTATTAGAGTACAAAACCTCAGCAATGATTTCAATACAGACACAGTAATAGGATGAACAGAGAAACTAACAAAATTCAAACTCCATCTTTACTAACAAGCATTTCACTCCACTGTCTCTGATCTGGGAATTCGCAACATTGAACTCGGTTGTGAAACCACACTTTTGAGACTCAACTCAGGAGTAACTGCAAAGTTGACCAATTTCCCCACCCCCCTCCCCAACTCAATTTACCCTCCTAGCCACTTATTGCTACTGATGGAAAGCTATCACGAACGATAAACCAGTCTACGCGAAGTTGTCAGGGATCTCTAAGCATTAACGATTCTCGTAAAAGATTTTTCTTGGGAGCCAATTCTTATAAATGATGTAAAGTGGATTCTCTAAGACACAGAGTAGTAACCGGACTTAAATAAGCAGAAGAAAAAACGACCAAGCAGTTGAAATAACGGATAGATCCTAAGCAATTAAACCCTCCTGGCTCCCTCAAATCACTAACCATTTAACGTTGCTGAAAATACCACATTTTTACCAGATGCCGTATCTTACACCATTTCTTATTCCTGGCTTTATTACTGGAAAAACTAAAACGTTTCTCCTAGAAGTCTAAATCAAATGTCACAGAAAACACAATAAATCGAACATTAGATACTCTTGAACAAATGACAATATAAACATTCAGTCCCACTAGTTTCAAGTTCTTCCCTTTATAAGACGACAGGACTCAATGCCAGTTTTTCACGAAAAACGTAAAACAAGGATAACATCCTCGACAAAGGCTTAAAAACACGTGGCTTTCTAAATACTTCTGGAAAAATTAAGTTACAGTGCGCGATAAAATGTAGCAATTCCCGACACCGGACAATATTAGTGAAAACATGCTCTCCCTACGCCGCACCTCTAGGAACGAAAAGTGAAAAGGCGAGGCTGTGCTGCCGTCCGTGTCGGTCAGACACAGCCCTGGGTCCTGCGGGAGGCTGGCCGGTGGCGACTCCGGCCCGCACCGCAGCTCCGGGCCCCTCGCCCGCGGAATTGGCCTATTGACGCCCAGCCCGCACCTGCCTCCCCGTGTCCCCGCGGCGGCAGGAGGGGCGCCCCTCCCTGCCACCGGTGCCCAGAGGGCTCGACTGGCAGCTCCGCAAGGGCGCAGCAGCGAAGCGGTCCTGGCGTCTCCCCGCCCCCCCCACACCCTCCCGCGGATCCGACGCCGGGGTCCTAGGGCGACCCCCTTGGGGGCCGGCCGAACTTGTCTCGGCGCCCAGGCACCGGCCTCTCCTCCCCAGGCCCTCCTTACCTGGTCATGGCCCAAAGCACGGTCCGCGGCGGTGACGCCCCGAGTCCAGCCGGGATGTATGTGGGTGCGACAGGTGAGCCCCTGCCCCGAGCCCGCGGGGGCCCCGACCCAAGGAAAAGCTGCCCGGATTGCCCTCCCCGCAGGGGAGTGACCATTCGCTCTCAAGAGCGGGAACCCGGGCTGCCGCTCGGTCCTGCCCTGCGCCGGCACCAACTACATCCCCGGAGCGGCGCCCGCCCCCGCCCTCCCCCGCCCTCCCCCGCCCCGGGATGGCGAGGCGCGCCAGAAGTAGTCCCGCTCGCCAAGCGCCTGAACCGCTAGGGTCTTTCCCACTCCACCACCGAGGGGAACTTGGCGCGTTTTCCTCAGTCTCAGGACCCCCGTGTTTTAGCCTCCGCCCGCGCCAGCACTGCGATTGGAGGTGGCGTCCTTCGAAAGTGCCGGTTCTAGTCTCCACGCTGCAGGGACGCGAAAGGCAAGAGCCGCCTCGCGACCGCCACTCGCCCCCCTGCCACGCACGGAGTCCGGAACCAGCTGGAACGGTAGTTTTCCCAAGATCCTAACGGGTTCTGCAGTTTCAAACAGCGCAGGCAGCGTCAGGGGCAGCTCGCGCGGGTCCTCGCTGAGGGCGCGCGCTAGGTGCTGGAGGCCTGGCTGGCGGGCTCGAGCCTCACACCCTTTTTTTTTTTTTTTTTTTTAACCATTCGTGCGCGCGAGTTGAGGAAAGGCGTACGGGTCGGGAGACGGGACAGAGAGAAGATGGGACGGACTCCTTCCTCGGGAAGACGACGCTAGGTGCTCAAATCCACCAATCTGTGATGAGCAATCCCCCAAACCTTGTCCCCCACCACCACGCTGAAGGAGCCAATCAGAAGTACCGAGACAAAAGCAAGTGGGTGGGCGGAGGAAGTCCAGCCAATACCAAAAAGAAGACAGGAGGACTCCACCAACCATTGCTGGATATGCAGAGTACCCTTCAGGAGCGGTCCACTCCTTCCGCTCTCATTGGCGTTCGAGTGCGCGCTTTCGCTGCCGACTGTTAAATCTCGCTCCGCGTTTTGTGAATCCTTGGCGGTGGGACGCCTCCGCGGGTGCGGTTTCCGGAGTGAGGCCCTCACAATAAGTCCCGCCCCCCTTTCTTGCGTACACATTCGGGCGGGGTTACTAGGGAGACTAGTTTCGGAAAATGGCTGACGGCTGTGCTTGGTGCTCGGTGCCTGGGCTTTCTGATCGGAATCACAGCCCCAGCCCCGGGACCATCCAATAGAAACCAGCGCTGTCGTGGATAACAGCGTATTCTCAACCGTATACGGTAGCGCTGAGGCTCCTTCCTCAGCCCTTCCACGCCTCATTTTCTCCCGTTTACTCCTTTCCCTTCCCGGCCAGACAAGGAAACGAAAAGAGCACTTTAAGGCCCAGCTCCGGCTGCGGGTGCTGGAAAGTGTTTCTGCGCGAGCCCTTACTTGGGGCTCAAATGCGGCGAGCCAGGCCTTAACCTGATTTTTGCTTCCTTTCGTTAGTATGCTTACCTTAGTGAGGTGACCTCGCAAAGCAAGTTAAGCAGGATAAGTTCAGTTCAAATGCATTTAATCAAGTTTGTTTTTAGGTGCCTACCAAGTTGCAAGGCATTTTTCAAGGCGCTAGGGGCACGGCGTGAATGAAATGCATTCCCTGCTCGAAAGGAGCTTTACATTCTAGAGAGGGGCAGAAGTTAAAATGATAGGACATAATGAGTGGTAGAGAAAGGAGATAGAGAGTGGACAGTTTTAGATAGAGTCTGGAAAGACCTCTTTGAGTTGACATTTGAGCTGAATGAAAGTGGAGTGAGCCTTGGAGGAATCTCAGGGAAGAATGGTTCAGGCAGAGAACAAGTTTTTAAAAGTCCAAGCTTCATATGCATATACTGGAAAGAAGCAAGTAGGCTAGGGTATTTAGAGCAAAATGAGCCTAGATGTGATGACTGTGGGAAATGAGAGTAGTGACATCTGCAGGGCTCTGATTAAGCAGGGTAAGGAGATGGAATTCATTGGATGGTTTTGAACTGGGCAGTGGCATAATTTGTAAAGTGGCTGCTTATGGTGGATAGATTGTTGACCTTCAAACATGCAAGCAGGAAAGTTAGCTAGGAGGCTATTTCAGACTTCCAGGAAATAAATTATTTGGCTTGCAATAAGGTGGCAGTAGAAATGTTAAGAACTGGTAGGATTCTGAATGTATTTGGGGTTTTGTTTTTTTATCCTGAGAGAGATCCAGCAGGGGGAGAGGGGGAGAGAGAGAATCCCAAGCAGGCCCTGTGCCACCAGCACAGAGCTGGATGCAGGACTCCATCCCAGGAACCACAAGATCATGACCTGAGCCAAAAGCAAGGGTCAGATGCCCAAATGATTGAGCCACCCAGGCTCCCCAGTTCAGAATATATTTTGAAGTAGAGTGAACAGGATCCCTTGATAGATTGTAACAAAAAAGAGACAAAAATGACCAGGATTATTTTTTCCCCAAAGCAACTGGATAGTGGTTGGCCCTTGCTAAAATGGGGAACATTAGGTAGCAGTGGGTTTGTTGTGAGGTGACATTGTTCTCACACACTAAAACTCAGATGCCTATTTTATTTTATTTTTTTAAATTTTTTTTTCAACGTTTATTTATTTTGGGGACAGAGAGAGACAGAGCATGAACGGGGGAGGGGCAGAGAGAGAGGGAGACACA